ATATATATCTCTCTTTTGTAAGCAAATTCAAGATTACAATGATGAAATCAAAAATCCTCTGTTCTTTTTTTTTTTTTGTAAGATCACACCATTCCATGAAATACTGCGATCTTACAAAAAAAAAAGACAAATAGAGGAATCTCTGTGAAATTAGCACCTCAACTTTAAAAATCGGAAATTTTAAATAACTGCTTGCACCCGCAATAGTTCTACAGTTCCTGATTGGTTTTATAAATAATTCCGTTAACTCAAAAATTTAAAAAAATAAAAATATGCGATGCTAACTTCGCGTGGCATTGCAAGATTCGAGAAAGTCAATTTTTTTGACAAAATCTTAAAGTACTCGAAGAATACTAAAATTCCTGATCGATTATAACAATATTTCCGGCTATTAAATATTTTTAAATAAATTTTTAAAATAAGAGCTCCTCAAGTTTAAATAAAATTAATTTTTTTTGCGACATTTTCTTGTATTCGAAAAGTTACACAGTTCCAAGTTTTAGTGACATTACCGGCTATTTTAATATGTTTAAACAATTTTTTAATCCTTGCGCTGACATCGTTAAGAGTAAAATCTCTAAACAGCCAGTACTGGTATAAACATTTTTTTGTATCATCAAAAATAAGCGAAATATTCAAAATGTTCGATTAAGTAGACCAATCTATATGCATATGTATAATTAGTTATTCTTATTCCTATACAGATAATATTTAGATTACAATTACAATAATTTCTTGTACCTGATCGATGGAGAAATCATAGCAGTTCCTCTGCTAACTGGATATTCCACTGGTGGATATAAATTCGCAACTTGCGGCTGTAAGCCACAATTGTAGAGCCTTCCAATTCCTTGAAAAATTACATTTTTATTTTGTTCAGTTCGTTGAGTTAATACAATGTTTGTCACTTCTGGATGCAAAGATTCTTTCAATACATGCTGTAGAACACCGCATGGTGCGAGTTCGATAGTAATAGCATTATTCGGAATTAGATGTAGTGTTTGTTCAAAAAGAACAGTATTTAGTATACTACGTGTATGATAGTCTGCCGATGATAATTTTCCTGAAGTGAGCCATTCAGTATGAGGAATGGAAGTACTGATCCATTTTGGAGTTCGTTTTTTAGGCTGTGGTATTATTTTATTTAAATTAAACAAAAGCTGAGTTTCCATTGATACGAGATAAGAATTGTGATATGGTCTTTTGCAGTAGATCTCTTTCACGTAAATATTATGGAACTAAAAATAAATATAAATTTATCACATGCAGCTCGCAAATTGTGGTTTAAATTAAAAGATTTGATATTTAAAAAATTATTAAATAAAATTTCATTTATGAAATATGAGAGCCATCCAACTTCTACCTGTAATTTTTTAATAAATTTTTGTACGGATTCTGTGAGTCCACTCACGATGCTGTTGTTCTTGCTATTGCGGCATACTATTTTAATATCCGCTGGACATATATTTTTAAGATACTCGTAATCGATATTGACAATCGCCATTGAGATATGAATTATTTTTCCTTCAGCATATGCCAAACTAATAAAATATGCTGCTAAAATAGTTTGTTCGATGGTGAGACATTTATCTGCATACGCGCAACCGAGTTCACCACCGGAATGACTAATTATGTAATCCGGAATAATGCCTAAGGATGTTAGGAGTTCTACTAAACCGATCTGTAAATATATCCAAAAATTATAACTGCTACATTTCAAAAAAAATTTATTTCTGATAAAATAATAAAATCTAATGAAATAAATCTAGTAATAAACTAATTTTGATATAGTAGAATAAAAAAGATATTTATATTGTACACATTTTTCATTAATAGATATAATATATAATTGAGTTTTAAAAGTTATATAATATAAATTATATACTATTATGTATAACTTTGAAATATAATGATACCTGAATAGCAATGATTCCAAGAAACGCGTTTAAAGCATTTTCGCATATTTTTTCTTCTGTATTTGTTAAAATGTCCGTAATGCTTATATTGTATGGTTTTAAAATAACATCGCATTTTCTTATCGTTTTCGCAAAAACATGAAATTTTAATAAATTTCGACCTGATAAAATTTCAATTAAAAAATTACATTATTTTATTATTTAAATCCTTTTAAAAAGTAAATTATAAGATATTAAATATATACCCATTCCTGGCCATTGTGAACCTAAGGCTGAAAATATAAACCAAACTGGTCTCTTCATGCGCTCACAATTTTGAATTTCCTCTATTGAATCTTGTTGCAAAGTATTCAATATAGTGTACCCTCTCCATGGGTGACCTTCTATATTGTCTGCATGGATGTCATGTAATAAACGAATGTATTCTACGTCTATCGGGTAATTAGCAATCTATAATAATAATTTTTTTTAATCAAAATTATGACATAATGTCTCTAATATTTCAAATGAGCTTTTAAATGTCTACTAACATCATTCAAAAACAATTTCACTGATTCTTTAGTGCGCCCAGATAATATTACAAGTCTAGGTAAGTCGTCATTCGGTACTCCATTATTAACTTTTTGTTTACGATTCCACTTTAATAACGTATGAGCGTTGGATCCTCCAAAACCGAAAGAATTGATTGCTATATAACCATTTTTAATTGGCATTAGTTCTTGGACAACACGAATACTTCCATTCATCAAGGCATATATATCATTTCGTGGTGACGTATAATTGATATTTGGTGGAACAAATCCGGTTTCGAATGCTATTATTGCCTTCAAAAATTAGATTAATTTATAAATTAACAAATTTATATAATATTGTGACTTATCTAACAATTTTTACAAAAAAAAACTAGATCTTTTGTTTGTATACCTATATATATATATGTACGTGGTTATGTAAAATATAAATAATTTTATCATGATAAATAAAAATGGAAGCCACCTTTGCTTAAAATTTCTGATTGAAAACTATTTAAATTTATTAAAACCCGATAGAAATTCAATAGAAATAAATAATATTTATTAAAATCAAAATTACAGCCTATTGAGAATGAATTGGAAACAATAAGATTTTAATAGGATTTCCATTTAATGCACTTTCAATAAGAATGTGTAGGCATATTACTGATTTAAGAAATGAAAAATCAATCTGATTTTATTGGACAATGGGAAGTAATCGACAAACGTCTCCAGTCGGCGAATTGGACTGAGTGGGAAATCCGCATTGACGATCCGAATCAAATCCAATCATCATATGATTAAATATCAATAGATTTTTATCTATTATATATATTATATAGAAATCACACATTCTTAATCTAATAAGAACCAAATATAAATTAGTAAATATAAAAAGTCAATTTGCATATGGATCAGAATAAGTGAGAAATTGATATTTTCGCAATGAATAAATTAATGGATAAAATATTAAACAAACACAATATCCGAACTGTCTTTAAATCACCCAAAAAGATAGGACAAATCTTAAGAAATCTTAAAGATCAAAGACCTCCACTCAACTTCGCAGGAATATACAAAATACCTTGTTTCTGCGGGCAAGTATACAGTATAGAGAAACCGGGAGAATGATCAACCTACGGATAAAAGAACATCAACGTGATGTCAGGCTAAAACATGTCATGCAATTGGCATTATCAGAACACAACATCGAAACAGGACATCAAACTGTTTGATAAAACGATCACAATAGCCAATATTACATCATATTTTCCAAGAAAGTAGAAAAGCCATAGAGATACAAAAATATCCTAACAATTTAAGTAAAGATAATGGTTACAACATAAATAAAACTATTCTCCCGGTTATTGAAGACTAACTAATTTCTCCCATCTCTCCCCCTCCCATCCACAATTCTCTTCTTTTCCCTCACTATTCCAATAAGTAGCATAAAAGGAATAGCTTGGAAAAACAGCTTAATATCAGGCTGCTGTTCAGTGATGTGAATTCCAACCCGCTTGCAGCATGGTTACTACCCTGAAGAGAACATAGACGAACATACAACGGGCAAGTGTATACAGATATGGACTTATCGTATCTTCTTATGCTCTCTTCATGCTATTAACCGTGCTGCAAGTGGATTAGAATTCGCATCACTGCTGCTTCTCGCTCTACTGAAGTGGACTGCAAGATTCACGAAACGTTAGCATTTCAAGAATGGATCTGGACACGGAGGAAACCCGCGATACGTATAATCTTTAATATAGGAAGCACCCATGGAAGCCTCAAGAATATTATCAAATTATAATTTAATCAATAATCTAACAATTCTTATATTTGTAAAGTCACTCAAAAAGTCATAAAAGTTAATTAATACTAAATTTTCTACACAATAATAAATATATATTAAATTCATGCATTTATTTCATAAAATTATCTCCATTGGATTTGGCATTAGCGATTTATTTATATTAAAATTTATTAAAAGATAAACATGTATACACACAAACACACACGCGCGCGCGCGCACGCAATATTCAATTCTTAATCCTTTCAATTCTTCCTTGCGTTCAGAATAAGAATGTTTCTAATTATTGTAAAATTATTTAATATGATTAATTCTTAATTCTTCATCTAAATGTAAATATTCTGTCAATCAAATGTAAATAATCAATCATTCTGTATAACATAGAACATGTAGTAATATCGTTGCAATATTGCTGCAATATGCAATGTTGCAGCATTGTTGCAATCCTATAAAAACCTATTAAATCCTATTCGAAGGAAATATGAAATATCTTATTAAATCCTATTCGAAGAAAATGTAAAATATCTTATTAATTCTTGTTTAATGCTTTCTTGGTATTATTAGGTGTGGAAAAAATTTCGTGGCGTTTTTCCCGTTACATCTAACAATATATGAGTATATGCCAATAAAGTCCTATTTTGTGTCTGCTTCGATTCCGATTAAAAAAATGAATAGGAAAATATCAAAAATTTCCGATGCATTAATTCAATTAAAACCGATTCCAATTTTCCTAATTGGTTTTTAAATCAGAAGTTTTAAGCAGATACTTGTTTTACCTTAATGATTTGAATAAAAGCACTCGCAGGTTCAGCATGCCCAAGATTAGATTTTACAGAGCCAATCATTAATGGAGTTTTTCTATTTTTACACAAAACATTATAGATAGCGTTTACTTCCTGAAAATCGCCAGCTTTGGTACCGGTACCATGTGCTTCAATGTAATCCAAGCAAGATGTTGATATTCCGCATTCATTGTAAAATTCCGTTAATAAAGTACTTTGCATATGCATCGATGGATATGTTATGCCTTCTTTTTTGTAACCATCGCAATTTAATTTTATATGAGGACATATGGCATAAATCCTCTTTGCATTTTTCGCCTTTTGAAGGTATATTACTGCTACGGTTTCGCTACGTGAATAACCGTTTCCAGCGGAATCGAAAGGTCTGCAACAACCATCGGGTGACAAAATACCTACAAAATATAGTATGCAAAGTATATTATGCATAATGTATTTTTAATATATATATTTCTTATTTATTGTTAAATTACCCTATATTAAAAAAATTTTAATATCAGTTTCATCCTTGATAAAATAATATTTTATTTTGTGAAATATCTTATTACAAACATTTTATCGAGATTAAGCAGTTGAATTTCATTTATTTTTTATGAATGAGAGAAATGCCATCCTTTAAATGCTTATTATATCAATAGTCAATAAGTTTTAATAAAAATATTAAGATTAATAAATAAATATATCATAATATATAAAAATACCAAGACGAGTGAATTGCAGATTTATAATTGAATGAAAACATAGATTTGCGGTTCCAATTATTGCATCTTCGCATTTTCCCGACATAATATAATAGTAACCAAGAGCCAAGGCGTAAAGACTAGAACTGCATGCTGTATCGACGGTATAAGATGGTCCTTTTAGATCCAAGCAATATGAAATCATATTTGCTATTGTAGCTTTGCTACATCCGATAATGTTCAAACCATCTAACTAAATTGCAAAACATTAACGATTGATACAATTTTCGTAATAATAGAAATAATGAATTCAATAATCTTTTTTTATTGTACTTGTACACAGAATAAATCCCTAACAATATAAAGACTATTATTTCTAAAATTAAATGAAATATAAAATTTTTGTTTGCTATAATTCACTTGGTATCGAAGATAATCAATTGTATCATGCGGAGTAGCCGAACGAATACACGCGCGCAACGCCTTGCAGTGATTATTAATTTTTTTTAAAACTTCTTTGAACCTTCATTCTACAAAATTCCATAAAAAAGTGTATTTTGAATACAATTTAATAAAGAATCCGACTATATTTTTTTCAAACTGTCATAAATGATTTTCATATTTGATATTTCATAAATAGTTTTTTATAAAGAAATTAATTTAACATTTACATTGTTAATAATAATAAAAATAATTAATATTAATAATAATAAGAATTAACATTAATATTAATATTAATAACAATTATTAATATTTTAAATTCAGATAATCCAAAAATCACCGATCAAATAAATAATGAGCAATATAAGGTGTTTTATTAATATATTTAATATAAATTTAACATATCAATATAATTATCAATATATAAATTATAATATAAATGGCTACACAGAGCCCTTCCTCAGTATAAATAAGTTAATACATTTCTTTTGCTTTACAACTATTTTAAATTAAAGAAAAATCCCATGTCAATTATTGATGATAACTGGTGAATCAGGTGTCAGATCTTCAAAAGATGTCCAAATTAAAAATGCAAAACCAATTACTCATATTTAACGGCGAGAATTACATTCAGTTCCATAATGTAAGAATTTCTTCATTGATTTATTTATATCTATAGATTTATTTATCTATAAATCAAGATATATAATTCGTTTCTAGTTTTAAAAAACTTAATTTTAATACAACCAATACTCAAATAATGATACGACAACGATTTCCTCAAAGGTTTTTATAAATTATATAAAAAAATATGTAACAACAATATTCGTTTAGTTTTAACAATGATGATATATAACATTATGTCTAATAATTTCCACGGATGATCAAGAATATATAAGCCCACAATTATAACTGATGGGAGAACACAAGGTTTTTTTTCTATTTGTTATTACTTGTGTTGTTTTCTTTTCATTCGTTCAAATTAATTGTATTTTTAAGAGATTTCTCTTAATATGTCGAAATAAAAAGCATTAAGTAATTTAATGTCTTTAATTCGATTAGTATCGTTTTTTTGTTCTTTTATATGAATCATTTCTAATAGTATAACCTTTTGTCATAATTATATTCAATATCTAAAATTTTTGTGTTTTCCAATCCAAATTGTAGGGTAATTCTAGTAAATACGCCGCGTTGGGATTTATGTCGCAAAAAAAATAGAAGGTGGTAATTTTCCCGCAACTACTTTGTTACATATTAATTTAGTATTGTATTATGATTTCAGTTTCTCACTGTTAATATTAATGAAATTATTGTGAGTTGAATATATTTGATCATTGTGTTGAATAGCTCCATCATAAATTATAATCTACATAAAACTATCTACATAATACGATGTTACTGTACGATGTATTACTGTAGGACGTTCAAAAGATTTAATGATTATTTCATGAAGTAATAAATGTAGAGGAATAGTAAAGCATGTTGTATAACAAAATATTTTGCTCTTATATTCTTTGTTTAGTTTTTTGTCTTATCTATTCCACCTGTTTGAGATATACAGCATTTTTAGCGGGTGGGATTTGCCCAATGTATACAAAGTAGGCAGATTGAATTGCACTAAATGCAATAAACGCATTACATGAAATATGTACCTCATAACATTTGTAATACATGTGGAAAGATTGTAATTATTATTTATTACTTCATATTTATCATTCTTATTCCTTATAAAACTTTATAAACGCATTTTATTGCATTTTATTGTGTCATTTTATAACTTATTTATATTATTTGTAAATTTTTCATGAGCCGTATCCCTCCCTCCCCCTGAGTAGTCATATATCCCATCCCTATGGAATATATGACAAAAATACAAGGCTTTAAAAAAGTTTATTTTTTAATACGAAATATAAATGTTTTGGATTTCCAATATTTTTTTCATAATAGTAGACAATACAAAATTTTTACTGATATAGTTCGTTTATTTTAAACATAGTAAATAATACTTAATAAATTAAATTTTTGATAGGACGTATACTGGAGTTATCTTAATTAATAAACAAACGATAACTATTTTTGGGTTCAGATCGATTAACAATTGAAACAAGTTTAAACAAGTTTATCAAGGTACAAAAAAGATGTTACAGAACTTTTCGGAAAAATCATGTAATATATAAAATTAATTGTAAAAATTGCGATGCTACATATGTAGGCCAATCAAAAAAAAACAATTGAAAACAAGAGAAAAGGAATACATTAATAATTTAAAATTAGACTCTTCAAAACATTTAATAATTTCTGAATAAAATAAAAACATAAAATAAAACATAATCATAATTTTGATTGGAAAAATTTTAGATATTGAATATAATTATCACAAAAGATTAATACTATTGTAGAAATAATTCATATAAAAGAATAAAAAAGCGATATTAATTGAATTAAAGACAATTGAATTACTTAATGCTTTTTATTTAGACATATTAAGAGAAATCTCTTTAAAATACAGTTTGAACGAATGAAAAGAAAAGTCCACAAATAATAACAAATAGAAAACTTTTTTTTTTCACCTACCAGTTATAATTGTAGGCTTATATATTCTCGATCATCCATGGACCGTTAAATATAACGTTATATATCATCATTGTTAAATTCAGCAAATGATTGAAAGAATGGATTGAAATGGATTGAAACGGATTCAGATTTTCAGAAATATTGATTCACGGATGTTAAAATGAATGCTTTTCAATCCTAAATGCATTTTTATTCATTTATAGGAATTGCATGGAGTGTATCTTTATGCCTTTCAATCTAAAAATAATATTAGCTTTTTCTGTGCAACACAAACAACACATAAACATTGATAATATTGTTAAATTTTGAATAGAAAATGCAGTTTTTCAATCTAATTGCATCCAATTGAATTAAGTCCAAAAAAAGTATTCGCTATTTAAAATACACATTCGGATAGAAAAAAATTTCATTTCATTTTAATCCATTCTCGTTTGCTGGGAAACTAAACGAATATTGTTGTTACATTTTTTATTAAAACTTTTGAGGAAATCGTTGTCGCATCATTATTTGAGTATTGATTGTATTTTTAGAATTAGAAATCCCTACGAATTTATATATATATATATATATATCTTGATCTAGATAAATCAATTGAAGAAATTCTTACATTATGGAACTAAATGTAATTTTCACCGTTAAACGATTAATTGATTTTGCATTTTTAATTTGGATATCTTTTGAAAATCTGAATGAGATGGTTCATCAATATTTATCATCAATAATTGACAAGATTTTTCTTCAATTTAAAATAGTTGTAAAGCTAAAGAAATATGTTAATTTATTTATACTGAGAAAAGCTCTGTATAGCCGAAACATTTATATTATAATTTATATATTGATAATTACATTGATATATGTTAAATTTATATTAAATTTAACAAAATCTTATATTGCTCGTTATTTGGCCACTGATTTTTGAATTGTTTTGCATTGCAAACTTTGAGCGTTTATTTATAAACTCAGATAATATAATAAAAACGCTTAATTTTTTCTTTAAAACCATTTTTGATTCGTCTTTCTACAATAATTCAAATCAAAGATATTTAATTTCAAAGTAGAGTGGGTGCTCACTTTTATAAAAACTTCCATGTGAAAAAACTTTAATGAAAAAAATTTTTAGAGAGGCATGTGCTCACACATTATTTAAAATGTGACATATATACATATATCACGTAACAAAAGCTTTAAGCAGTTAAAAAAACCTATTTTATCCGATTTTCTCAAAAATTGCTCAATAATTTTTTTTACCTGATAATCTTCATATAGGAATTTCTTTTGTGCATCAATAATAGATATTCCTATGATCACAGCAGTATCTTTTCCTCGTAATTGCTTTGGATTTATTCCTGCATCGATAATTGCTTCATAAGAATGTTCCAGTAACATTCTTGTTTCGGGTATAAGTGTGTGTGCTTGCTCGAAAGATAATCCAAAAAAATCCGCGTCAAATTTGTTTACATTATTAACAGTACCCGTACGATATGAAAACTCAGCATGTTCTAAAAATAGATGTATTTACATTAGAATTTTATTTCATTTATTTATCTTTTTATATAAAATTTTATATAAAATTAAAAAATTGAGGTATACAATTGTTAACATATAAATATGTAATTACGTTTTACTACAGATAAAAAGCATATTCTTAACTGAATGTAAAATCAGGCATGAATATAAATATAAAAGTAATATATAACAATATAATATAAATATAATATATAACAATAAATATAATTTAATACCTATTTCCCATCGGCTATGATCTCTTACAAGATCAATTTTATTGAATAAATTTTCTCGTAACTGATTCATATTATCCGAATTAGGAAATCTACCAGCAATACCAGAAATAATGATTTCTTCACCGGAAATAATATCATTCCATGATCTATTTTCTTTATCACCCATGGTTTTTATTTATACTCGGACAATTTAAAACAATCCTATATGTATTTTATGTTACTTTTTTTACTAATTCTATCAATTATTACTTTGATGTTCACAGTATCACTATAGTATTGTTTGAGTTGCACATGAAAAATAACTTTATAATAAAAAATCTCTTTATATAAACGTCAATGTGTTCTTTCAATATGTTAATTAATAGTAAATAAATTAATAATAAAGTTAAAGTTAAGGTCAAGATTAAGAGTTAGTGCGGAAATGGATGCGCATAAATATTAATTTGTGTAAATAGCTTTATTATTTATTTATAGCTTTATTATTTATTCTTCTGAACAACACAGAATTATGATAAATATATATAATAAGTATTTTTTACTTGGATTATAATATGTCTGTATGTTAAGTATTTTTATAGTATAGTATTTAGTATTATATTAGTATTAGTATTAGTATTGTACTACTAATACTAATACTACTATGTTATAGTAGTATAGTATTTACTATAACATTTACAATAAATATTTCATAATATTTATAATAAATGTTTATGATCTGTGCAATCTAAGACCACAGAAATATTTACATTTTATAAAAATATATAATAAAAGAACAATTATTATAGAAAATTATTATAGAAATGTGAACAACTCACCTCAAAGGCGCCATGAAGCTTTAATAAATTCACAAAATAATTAATTAATCATGCTGCGAGCACCTAATTTATTTACATAATAGACAATTCCGAGTCTTGAATGATTCTAACATTTCAATTTTTCAGAAGTCAAAATATAATGAAAATTCTGTTATAAATAATATAATTCTATGTTATAAATAATGTTATAATCAAATTCTATGTTATAAATAATAATATACAAGAAAAACTATATACGTAATTCCGGCAAATACGCCACGCTGTGATTTACGCCGCAGAAGTCAGAAAAAATAGAAGGAGTAGGAGTAATTTTCCCATAACTACTTTGTTAGGCTGCGTTCAGATTCTCCACCCGGGTGTACCCAGACACTTAGAAAACGTTCAGATTCCTTTTGAGTGCCTTTATTGGGCGCTTAGGTGAAATGTTCAGATGCCTACTCTATTCCGGGAAGATAAAAAACCACTCTTGAGTCGGGTGATATGGGTAGTAGTGGCGCATTAAAAACTTCCTGTGCTATCCTATGTTTGGCGTGCATTTATACGAAAATTTAAATTTCAAGTTATGTCTGTGTGTTATAATCAGTATAAACCATAACTCAAAGGAGGCCAAGTATTTAATCATCTATTAAGTTTTACAGGTCGGGACTTAGATACTGTAAGATATTTATTTTATATCTTTTATCATTATATACGTTATTATATACGTTTAGTTATATATAATTATTCATATTAAATATATTTACGTGACTGATATATTTACGTTATTATTTGCTGTAATTGATGCACTCTTATCTTAGAATGCGTTTAGATTCCCAAATCACTCCGATATTTTTCGCTAAGCTCCGCCTACTTACCCAGTGATCACCCATCCGGTGAAGAATCTGAACACAGCTTTACATGCCTTTATGTTATATTAATATTATGTTATGATTTCAGTTTCTTACTGATAATATCAAGTAAGACAATCAAAATTATGATGTAAAAATCTCTCTTTAAGCGTCTAAAATATATTCTGTGAAATTAAAAAAAATGCTCTAAAGAAAGGAATA